AGGCATGCCCTAACAGTCCTCGCAAATACTCCTAGAGGAGTGGATACATTCATATTAAAAGGTAAGACATATACATGTAATTTTAAGTTCTTCATAAAATTTTTTGATACAAACAAATGTGTAGCACTCGAATCAAATAATGCATCTATATTATGATGAAAGATTTTGATGTTACCTCTGATGGCATAAGGAGAGTTAATGTGTCTTAAGTGAGGATGAACACATGATTAGGTACAGTAGGACGTTAAGAGGGGTTCTTCGGATTTGGGTTCTGATGGTCCTCATAAACTTCACAATATGACCGAGCTTCCTACAGATATAACACACAATATGGTTCGTAATGACGGTGTCCACACTTGGCGCACTCTTGTAAGTTTGTCGTGCTTAAGGGTAAAGCAAGTGCAACTGAGCCCCTCTATGACCCTTGGTAGCTACTTTGTTGGCTCCTCTAACCTTGGCCCCTTTTTAAATGAACCCTTCCTTTTTTCTTAGCTCCATAAGCCACTAGGACCTTGATAGTCCCTTTTCATAATGCCCCCAATAGGTCATGGTTAGACAAGGGTTTTCAACACTTCTCTCTTTTAGACTCCCTCTTACTATGAGCCACGATCCACAGCTCCATATACATTTCATCATAATCTCGAATTCTCAAGTAAGCCAGTTGCTCTCTTAACTCAGGCCTTGCTTTCTCCCGTAAGCACTTCACCTTCTACTCAATGTTGACATTATACCTTAGATATGTAGAGTACTTAGATAACTCATGAAATCTATTGATAAAGGCATCTCATCTAGATTGCTTTGCTTGAAAAAATGGAATTCAGCCTCCCTCTCTGCTCACAACTCTAAAGGGAAATAATGCCCAAATAGTCTCTCATCAAAATTCTTCTAGGTGAGGGTAGACTTATCTCAGGGTTTCGTTGTTTCCCACCAATCTCTTACTCCTTTCACTAGAAGCACAGTCGCCATTTAAACCTTCTGGTTCGTGGTGCACTTTACCATCTTGAAAATTGTCTTGATTCTCTTCACTCATTTTTCCACCATAGAGGGATTAAGGTCACCATTAAATGTAGGAGGGTTGAACTTTACGAAATTATCCCATATATTAGTAATGGATGGCGAGGATCTCTCTCTTTCGGGTCTTGGAAAGTCCCCTCTGAATTCATTTTCATTAGGTGTCTTGGAGTGTGCCAAACTGCCCTTCCCCATTTAAACCTCGATATGAGCATCTATATTATTTCCCAGCTCCATACTTCTATTCTCTTGCATTCTCTATTTCTTAAAGTCTACTAATTCTTTTTCTTGTGTCTTAACTTCCTTAGTTAGATCCTCCAACATTCTCTTAAGCTCAATTAAAACAGGTGAATCGCCGTGCACTTGTTCATTTTGCAAGTTATGTCGCTTATTTTGAGCCCCAATATTTGCTCATGTCCTAATCGACATCCTTTCTCCACTCCTATAGGATGTAGGATGTAAAAAAATAAAATAAAAATTAGTCTAATAAAATGGCCATACTAAGGAGAAGTATCATAATAATGTATATTGCCAATCATCTATATGCAATGTTTTAATACCAAAATGTAACACCCTAAATTGTAACACTTATTTTTCATAAATTAATAGTTTGATAAACTATTTTAATAATTTTAAACTCTTACCATGGTAGAAAAAGGATTATAAAAATATATCAGAAATAGTCTGTCATGATAAAAAAGGATCTATCATAATAAAAAGATTCAGACATAATTCATTTACTTTACATTAGTAATAAAAAAGCAATCATTAAATACTTCTAGTGTACATCCTTGTTATAATTTCAAAACCATAGTCAATTGAGCAATATTTAACAAATCATGCTTTTACTTTGGATACCTAACTTGGGCCCTAAATTATACTTTTTCAAACATTGGTAACCATCGAAAATTACCACATAGGGCATACTTGATTGAAATTTTACTTCACAAATACCCAGGGCCATGAGAGACAAACAGAATTTTCTTGGCACATAAAGTACAATAATAAATAAAGTATACATGCTCAATATATATATATATATATATATCCATTCTAGGTTGGCATAATACATATCATTAATGAAAATAAAGAGGCTAAAATAGTAAACACTGTCTCATACATCGAATTATGCCTTAGGTACTTCACCGGGTGGACTCACTCTTGAAAAATTAATAACCATAAGGAATGAGATTTAAAAGTTCCAATAACCAAATATTAATATGTAATAATATACATGAGGTAATTAATCATGCAATGCTAAGTGGGCAAAATAAACAACAGTCTAAACAATTATTCAATTATCATGATTACATCTTATATCCCTTCTTATGCCATACTCGGATTTCAAGTCACTCATCTAAAGGTGAGTTGGACCAAGCTCCACACATTGGTTCCAATAAGGGCTTACTGCATGGTAATTCAACTAAACAAAAATCCCTATTGAACAATTTTCAATATACTTCGACCAGTCATGCATTAATAACAATCAAACAAAAATCATTTGGCACATTTTTATATCAACCAAACAATTTATCTCATGTTTTTAGTAGTGTTAATATTCATAAAATATTCATGACATAAATTTAACCCACTTGGCAATTATTTCTGAACAAAAATATACATGTATATTATTTCTCAAGAAAAATCAATATTGTTCAAATAACAAAACAAACACACAATTAATCTCACACACACACACACCACCACACATTAATAATGTTACCTTGTATATTTGATAACACGTTCTCCTGTACTAGAACTCTTTCACCATTCTTTTAGACAACACAATATATGCAGCCATTTAATAATATATGTATAACATGAATTTCATAATACTAAATATTAATTTTTTATTAAAATTAATAAATAATTATAATTTTATTAGTTAGAAAGTTTAGGCCTAATATAGATATTAACACTAATCCAAAATTTGTGCCTCATTTAATTTTCTAAATTACTTTATGAAATTCTCAAACCTCAATGGATTATACCTAGGTTTTAAATAAGTCATAATATTAAAATTTCATCAATTTATTTTTTCAAAAATTCGTCCAAAGATATATTAAAAATTTAAAAATTACCCTCAAGGCTTAAATCACCATTTCATAGACTCAAACATTTATTTATGCTCAAATGAATATCTAATAATCAGAAACCTATCTCAACATCTCAGATCTAATATAAACTCAATTATATAGGTATAGAATTTAACTCAAAAATTTTCAAATCTAAGTTTCGACTTAAAAAAAAATATTTTATAGTATTTATTATACCTCCAGCAACATCAACATTTATTTTTGAATCATTAAAATCTCATATTAACTATACTATAAAAAAAATCCTAAATAAAAAATTTTTCTCTACACATCAAAATAATACCATTGTTAGATAGTTCTAAATGAGTGAAAAATATTTATGAAAAACTTTGAAATATAAAAGTCATTTTGCACACCTAAATAATTTAAAAATTTAAAACCTTACCTGAATAAAATGAACAATGCTGCGCATAAATTGAAATGGAAGGAAGAAAAAGAGGAAGAAAATTGTGCCCAAAAAATGAAAAGGGAATGGAGGTTTTTATAATAGGACACGAGTCCTACAGTCATTTATTACTTAATATTTATTATTATATTACTAATAAAATTTTTCAAACAAAGGGAGCAATTTCAACATAAGGCAGAAATTTCAACCAAAAAGAAGAAAAATTTTCCAACCACTTTAGTGGCTTGACTTTCCTTATATATATTAATTATATTTAAATAATATCTCTTGTATGATTTTGAGCCTAAATTTAATTCACATTTAAATGCTTAGATATGTGATTAACTACAAATAATCTCGACTACAAATTTATTTATTCTAAATCTAAAACAATATGAATTCCTAAATTTAAATACTCAACAAAAACTCAAATTTCATAATTTATTTATTATAAAGTTCAGGATGTTACACATCACACATTCTAAATGCTAAATTAAATTTAGAGAGTTAAAATCATTGAAGAATAAAATGAGTTATATACAAAATTTCAAATTATTTGTGAACGATGGCTGCAAATTTATAATTTTTTTTAGAGTGAATAAGTGTATTTGTCCCCTTATCACATTTTATTTATTTTTAAATAAAATAGGCCTTCTTTGCAAATATAATAAGAAGGGAGTATGACATTTAAATACTTTCTAAGAATATAATTTGTAATTAAAAATCCTTAAATTTTAAAATTCTGGATTATAAGCTTTAATTGGAATTAAAAATTTTTGAGTTAATTTTTTTAATGTTTATCTTTTACATTTGTCGCAGTCATTTTAAAAATTTTAATACTCATTCTATATTTTTTATAGGCTTTAATTTTTAATATTAAAATCATCAAAGGTTTCGAAAACAAGCCTATAAAATAGATTATTGAAAATATTTAAGATAATTATTAAAAAATAAAAAGTTGAATAGTGAAAATATTAAAAATTATTATTAAAAATCTAAAAAATAGGTACTAAAAGACCATGTTCTTTTTATGAAATACCATAATTTTAAGATTCTTAATTGTAATTGTAATTGCCTCCTCCATTTAAAAATATAATATATTTTTAATCGAATCTTATTTTTTAATAAAATAATTATTTACTTTTTAACTAACCTTAACTTTTTATATTTATTTATATTAAATATTTTATAATAAATATAAATTTATTATTAATAGAAATATTTTAAAAATAATAATTAAATTTTAAAAAAATAAAAATATTTTATATTTTTAAATATTTAATTTTTTAAAAAATATTTCAAGATGTAATGTTTAAGTAATGTTTTTGTTTTTTTGCTTAAATATCACTTTTGCCTTCGAATTATTAGCCAAGCGTGACATCTTGTAGTCAGAAACGTCAACCCGGAAATGCTGACGTTAGCACATTATTTGACTTTCTTTTGCCAAGTGTCATCCTAACTGGCGAGGGTGGACCACCCTGCTTCACTTTTATTACCACACTGCTTGAATCTTCAAGATGAGCCTTGAAGACCCTCAAGTGGCCACCGCCGCCAACATCACCTCATCTTTCCATCAATGGCTGCCGCAGCACCTCCACCTCCACCGACTCCAGCGCCGGTAGAGGCATTGCCACAGTCGACGCCGGTGAGCCATCCTGTGTTCTCCCGTGTACGTCTGGCCACTCCTTTAGACGTCCCTCACATCCACAAGCTCATCCATCAGATGGCCGTGTTCGAGCACCTTACACACCTCTTCTCAGCTACCGAGTCCTCGCTCTCTTCCACTCTCTTCAATTCTCAGCCCTTCCAGTCCTTTACCGTCTTCATCCTCGAAGTTTCCCGTAACCCCTTCCTGGAGTCGGCCTTCAATCCTTTTTACAAACCGACTGTTCGGATTGTGAATCTGGACCTTCCGATTGAGGATCCGGAGAGAGAGACGTTCAAATCGGAGAGCGATGATGTTGTGGTTGCTGGGTTTGTTCTCTTCTTTCCTAATTACTCCACGTTTCTCGGTAAGCCTGGGTTCTATATCGAGGATTTGTTTGTGAGAGAGTGTTACAGAAGGAAAGGTTTCGGGAAAATGCTGCTTTCGGCGGTGGCGAAACAAGCGGTGGAGATGGGGTATGGGAGAGTGGAGTGGGTCGTGCTTGATTGGAACGTCAATGCCATCAAGTTTTATGAAGATATGGGGGCCAAGATCTTGCATGAATGGAGGATATGCAGGTTAACTGGTGAGGCTCTCCAAGCTTACGGAACTGCCGACTGATATTTAACCCACTTATACTATGTAGAACCGTTCTGAGTAGATTTCCTCTTAAAGACAGTGTTTGACATCGAGTTTGAAATGTGTGAATTTAAGGTTATGGTTTTTTTTTTCTTTCTGTGTTCTAGATTTTACATACTTATTGTTAAATTTGTTATAGGTCTATCCGTGTTCTGGTGTCCTGAACTCTAATTGTTAATCTTGGCAACACTAAATGTTAATCTTGTTTTAGGTTTTCTCTGCTTGTCCTAGATTTTACCCGCTGGATGTCAATCTTGTTATGGTGATTGTTCTTCAAAAGTCTGATTTTTCTGGGTTTATAATCTTGTTCTGGTTTTTCCCTTCGGTTCTCTGATTGATGAGGTGGAAGGGTAGTGAGTCACGTGGAGTGCCAAGTGTACGTTTTTGGTCAAACAGAACTAGTTAAGGTCAAAATTAACATTAATTAAAGGCAAGGGCAAAATTGTTGTGTTTTTATAACTTTAAGGGAGACATTGACCCAAAATGGAGCAGGATTCCGGATGTGCCTCATGTAATAGTTGGAGGGCAAAAATGACCTTTAAGCCTTGAAAGTTTACGTTTTTTCCTCTACTAATCCTGTGAATGAGAAGTTGTGTACAAGGGGATGAAGTAGATTAAAAACCTTGTAAGTCTCCACTAAGAACAAAAGTAACCAAGTTTATTCATGTTACATCAGCTTGAATGAGAACAACTAATATGTTCCTTCAAATGGAATCAAATTTCTGAACAAATGATGCCAGTCAACTGTTAATAGGCCCATTACTTTTCCTCCTCCACTTCAAGAAAAGGAAGTGGTACTGTTTTGACTGCTCTAAATTTGCCAGCATTATTCAGATGCTCATTCTCCAATCTGTACCAATTAAGATGATAATGATGAACTATTTGACTGTTACAGACACTATGGATTGAAGTTGATAGGTGTGATGAGCATAAAGGGATGCTAATGAATGTACCTGTAAAAATTCCATATCCCTCTTCTAAGAACTTCTAGTGCTGCTAAAAAAAAGCTTGTTACTCTATAGTCAACTTTTTCAAAACTTGAATGGAGGACAGTTTCTAGCCATGCAAGCCTCAGAATAAGGTTTAATCCCTGCATAAATTTCAAACCTTTTAATGGTCATCATCAGATATAATAGTAAATGGACCTTATAGTATACATGAGAAAAGAAACCATAAATTGCTCCCACAATGCCTGCTTCATCTCAAGAGAATATCTAATTCTCTGCTCTTGGTTTGAGATCTCATTCCAACTTGTATAAATCTTTAATCATCATTTGTTTTACGCTCATTCTCCACTTTGTGGGAATTTACCACAAATATGGTTGTTTTTAGATCATACTTTACCAGATCATCTGCAAATCAAAATAAATGATTGTGTTTCTTGTTATAAATTTAAAGCTATAGTATCAATTTCTCTCTATAGAGAGAGACAGACATGCATTAGTCTGTAGATGATTTGCTTTGTAGAGAAGCCATAGTCCATGGCCTTTAACTAATTTACATGTCAGATTAGATGAAAAATAGGGAGTCTCCGGTGAAATTAGGAGATTCAAAAGCATATTTCTCGCAATTTGTATCTTAGAAGCAAAGTTATGTTATATTCTAATATGTGACAATGCAGTTAATCATATTCTTGCGTCTAAAGTATAAATCGTAGATTCTCTAGAAAGAAAGAGGCTGATATGTACCATGGAGAAGTAGTAAATGAATTTTCGACGGAGGATTAATTCATTCCTAAGCCATGGATTATTGGAGTTCATTTGGAGCAAACCCCAGTCCTTTACAAAGTCCCAATACAATTGGTACACAGTGGCTGCACTTGATAAGATCACAAGGAGACATAGCCACCCGACACCCTCATCTTTCTCATAAGCCACTTTAGCTCCTGCTGCTAGCATTGCTGATGCATATTTACCTAAATTGACAAGGTGGCTTGTCTTCCCTTCATCAAACCATCTTCTAGCACACTACGAAACCAAATTCTGAATTAGAATAAGAGAAATCTTCAAGTTTAGGTCCTTGTTGCTTGCTGTCAGGTTAGTTTCCTTGGTAGAATTATGATGTGTGGATGAGTTTTTGAAGGGGTCAATGAGTAGTAAGAAAAATGTTTTTCTTTAAAACTAAAAATCCTGATACGATAATAAGAAATTGTACTTGGGTATTGTATAAGATAATATGTGTAAGAGTGACAGAAATCTGAAAGCTAATTTCTCTTGCCTGCATTGCCCTCCAATAATAAGGTAAAAATGACACTGCATAAGCAAGGTCTCTGTAGTGTTTTGTCCTCATGCAGTATCCATAGTCCTGAGTTTTGTAGCTGCCAGTTATATAATAACATGCCACATACTCCAAGTTCCTGAGCATTGGCACCTAAACAGCAACGGCATAACATAATTAAGAATATTCATCATTGATTCCATTTTTATGCCGCATTTCCATCCAGAAGAACCCTTTTTTTTTTTTGTGTGGCTTTTGTGGTGAAAAAGAACTTGTGCATATAAATGCTACCTGACTACAAAGTTGATCAGCCATGAAAAAGTCGAGCATGACAACCTAAAGAGACAAGAGGGAAGCTAATATGTCATGTCCACCACAAGGCATAATTAATTATTCAACAAACATACTTTTATTTTATGCCAACAAGGGTGGCTTTATTGACAGGATCAACTTGCATTGAAACTGTGTCTTGAGTTTGATTCTTATTGGTGATTCCTTGTTGATAAAAATTCACTTATTGGGGTTCGTTTTGTCTAAGCTTATCCCTCACTAAATTTTCCCCCTCATCAATAAGTAAACTTTTTTGCTTATCAGGAAAAAGAGAAGAGTTCTCCTTACCTTTTTCTTTGTTGGGGGATGGCACTGCGTTTTATGCCTGATGACTTGATGAAATTACTAGAGATTGATAGTGGGTAGGTACTGTACCTTGTAAAGGGGTGAGAAAACTATGTTCCGTATCACACAAAGGAAATAGTAACGGCTTGAAAGGTAGATAATGTTGAAGGGGCAAAAAAGTATAAAAAAGAAAACCTGTGCATGAAGTCAAAAGTGAAAATTTTCATGAGACTACTAGGTATTATGCAACATAAACATGCCAAGAGAATTATAACAATTTGAAAACGTAAACAAGAAATTACCAGTAAAAGTAGGCCAGGAATGGCTTGAACTTGGGCATAAGAATACCCTTTTGTCAGCATAATTAGATGAAGAAACATGATCCCAACCACAGCAGTCATAGCCGTTGTACAAATCAAGAACACATCTCTATATTCGAGTTCCTTTGTAGGTCCAAGCTCGAAAATGAAGCTGTAGTTTATACGAGTTTTTCTCCATGCAAAAATGTTGCAACCATACAGAAAGAAGTGTAGAAAGGTAAGGCTGAACATGCTGCAAAACGAATGAGATAAAACAGGCTTATAGATTTTCAATTGCTCATGCAGGTATAAATGGAAGAATGTCCTGCTAATATTAAGAAAGCAAGTTCACTTTACCCTAATATAGGGTAAACAGTTTCCATATAGACTGAGTTTGGTTGTATCCTGTAGAGCCCAGCTATATGAGCCATTATAACATATCCAGCAAAGAGTGCCATGAAACATCCAGCGAATAACCCTAGTTATATATGAAAGTCAGTAGTATACGTGAATTCCAGGGTTAGATTAAGAAATTTTAAGAAAGAAATCTATTACAATCTTTATGGTTTTAGTTTGTTTACAAGAGTCACTACATGTTTAAAACAGCAAATATGGAATCAGATGGTCACAGCGAAGCACAATACTGCATCAGATGTAATGTGCAGTTAAATGAATGCTAGAAGTTTGAACTTTGGCTATGCAAATTTATTGGTGCAAGACCGGCAAAGTTCTTTATCCGTCTTCTAATTCTGATGATGATGACACGTCTAATCAAGCTTATGGAGGAGGTAAAAACTGGCCCAGACAGTGACAAAATTTTCCCCCGCAAAAGAGAGAATAAATATTTATAATGCTTTCCCCTTAGCTTTTGATGGGGCTTGGGGTTTCACTCTTTGTAGGGTTATTGAGCCTGAAAGATGATATTATAGCGAGGAATGGGACCTGTACTTTCCATTCACCAAAAAGTGGACCAGTTGGTGCCATTCTTTTATAAACCTAGTGGCTTAATGGGTCCATTATGTGATTTCTTTAAATGCAAATGGCTGCAAAAAACAAGCTTAGAGTTCTCTTCCAAAATGATGTATCACCAAAAGACATTTTAGAAAGTAAAAAATGCTAAATAAGTACTCACCAATGAAGAAAGTTACAGCGTGAGATTCTTTACGTTGACTTGGTCGAAGGTACTTCATGGCCTTTTTTGGATCATCTTGGGCAAAATTTTTGACGAATAGTTCTTCAATTTCGTCGGCTAGCTTCATTACCTGTCATATGTGAAGCTAATGTTGAGCATATTGGTTCACACAGGTTTTTTTTTTTTTTTTAAACAAAAACTGGTTCACAAAGTTGAAAGCTTGTACTAGAGAGTAAGTCACAACTCACAAGACAAACATCCCCCCAGCCTAACAATCACAAAATTTGAATGGCTCTGAGGCCATATTGAGTTTCAGACATGAATTATACAGGATTATTGGCCACTTGAGCTTGTCGATGAACTTTCAGGTGAAAGGGTAACTAGTGGCAAACATCTTGGCATTATTCTAAATATAGGATCAAACAGATATGTTAGTTTATTTACCTTGTCTGAGCTGTTGAAATAAGAAGTCTCTACTACTTTAAGATAAATGGGAAGAATTTGTTTCTCAGTGACCTGAACAGCAACACGGGAAAAAAAGAAAAAGAAATCCTGTTCATAACAAATGTAGGCCAAGCTCCAATTTCATGCATGAAGTTTGAAGTTTTTATTTCACTTGCCTTGTCAAACTTCTTCAGTATCTTTATAAATGCAAGCATATTCAAGCTCCTGAAAATAGATATCATGGTGAAAACATTAGATTTTGGCCAAGGTTATTGAAGCAAGTAAACATGGGATTATACCTGTAAACTTTGAGATATTGTAGCCCCTTATAGAGCTGAATGAAACCTCCCTTGATCATCTTTTCAGCATGATGCAATTTGGTTTTGTTGAGGTGAAGCTTAACACTTTCTAGACCATGTTTCCTCGACGACTGATTAATCAAATCTTCCCTTAGCAGATAGCTAATTGCTGAGATGGTACGAGAAGGTGTTGTCAAAGGAATGTTGAT